CCGGATAATTTTTTGATTTATTGTAGAGATGAGATCTCGCCTGCCCAGGCGGTTCTCGAACCCGCGGGCTCAGGCAATCCATTCACCTCAGCCTCCCAAAGGCGCGGGATTACAGGCTGAGCCACCGAGCCCGGCATCAAAAATAATTTTATCTTTTAATTAATCTTTTACATGGTTTGAAGATTTAAAATAAATGAAAATGTATACAGTAACAATCTTCTCTACTTTTGTTTTCTTGTATCTGGCCAATTATCAAAACACACACGCATATGTACATACATGCAACCACTTGATTAGTTGTGTATCCTTCTAGTTTCTTAATTATATATATGAGTAAACATAAACATTTGTATATTTCTTCCCTTTTCCCCTCTACAAGATAGCATATTGCATGCATTTTCTGCACCTTGCTTTTTTCACTTAAAAATAAATGTAAGGTACAGAATAAGTGATAAATATAGTAAAATGTTAAGGGGAGACTCTAGATAGTAGAGATAGGAAAATCACTGTAAAATTTTTTCAGCTTTTCTGTAGTTTTGAAAATTTTCATAATCAAATATTAGAAATGAAAATGCATATTTTAGGGGTTTTATATAACAATTCATAGACATTTCTAGTCTTTTTTTCACAGCTGTGTAGAATTCTGTTGTATAGATTTACCATTATTTATTTATTAACCTCTTAATAATAGAAATTTTGGTTTCTGGTCTTTTGCTGTTATAAACCATGCTGCAGTGTAACTATAGTATGAATTCACATGTTGGATTCCTAGATCAAGGCTTATTCATTTTAGGTTTTTTTTAGTTGTTTTTTTTTAATAGATACTAGGAGGTGAGTGCAGTGGCTCACACCTATAATCCCAGCATTTTGGGTGTCCAAGGTGGAAGGATTGCTTGAGCCCAGGAGTACAAGGCTAGCCTGGGCAACACAGCAAGATCTCATTTCTACAGAAGAAAGGAAGGAAGGGAGGGGAGAGGAGGGCAGGGAGGAAGGAAGAAGGAGGGAAAGAAAGAAAGCCAGGCCTGGTAGCGTGTGTCTATAGTCCCACCTGTTTGGGAGGCTGAGGCAAAAGGATTACCTGAGCCCAGGAGGTTGAGGCTGTAGTGAGCCATGATTGTGCCACCTGCACTCCAGCCTGGGTGACAGAGTGAGACCCTGACTTAAGCAAAAAAAAAAAAAAAAGAGACAGATTAGAGAGAGACTGGTCTTGCTATGTTACCCAGGCTAGTCTTGAACTCCTGGACTAAAGCAGTCCTCCTGCCATGCCTTGCAAATTGCTGAGGTTTCAGGGATGAGCTACCATATCTTGCCCATTTTTTATTTTTATAAATATTGCTAAATTACTCTCAGTAAAAGTTGTGCTGCTTTTATTCTTATAAAGAAACATGTGGAAACAAAGCAAATTTAATATGCTTATTTTCAGGCTTTATTATTTTCCTTTTCAAAATAGCAGTTTCAGAATAACTTAGCAGTTGCTAAGCTAAAAAGCAAGGATCATGTGAAAATCAAGACAGAACAAGTGTCCAGTCTGATTGCAAGATTAGAAAATTGTCCAGCGCCCAACAGTCATATACATTTCATTCATAAGAACTGTGGTTATTTGGGACTGAAATTAATATTCTGTTTTCTTTCAACTTAAGCATACTGTTTTTCCAACTTGCTACTCACTTGTTAGGACATATATACATATTAAGTTGTTTGGATATAACTATTAAATAAATGGAATTATTAGATATATTATTTGTTCTAGGATACTGAAAAAATTACTGAAACACTAAGGATGCTGTGAACTGAGAAAGCATAACCTCTGTTTTAGCTTCTTGAGTGTCATTTTCCTGTTCAACTGTGATATTTCCTGTTAATATTATCTTTAAACTTTCATAGTGAGTTTTCCTCAGCTACTGTTTTTAGCTGGTGTGTCTGTTGGAGATCCTGTACTTCGCACTGGTAAACCCCTCTCAGTAGAGCTTGGTCCTGGCATTATGGGAGCCATTTTTGATGGTATTCAAAGACCTTTGTCGGATATCAGCAATCAGACCCAAAGCATCTACATCCCTAGAGGAGTAAATGTGTCTGCTCTTAGCAGAGATATCAAATGGGATTTTACACCTTGCAAAAACCTTCGGGTATGTCTGTGTAACCAAGAATTTCTAAAGTTGTTGAAAGAATGTGAAATGAATGTTTAGTGAACTGTTTTGTGCTCTTAGTCCAAATAAAAAGAGACCACCGAAGCATAGTTTAAATTTTTCCTTAAATTCGCTTGTAAGATTATGGAACCATTATGTTGTATAGATAAGTGCAGCAAATTATTTAAATTATAGCAGTAGGGGTGAGTCTCCTTGACGTTTAGTTGAACATTAAACGGCGAATACATTTCTTCTCTAGGTTGGTGGTCATATCACTGGTGGAGATATTTATGGAATTGTCAATGAGAACTCACTCATCAAACACAAAATCATGTTACCCCCACGAAACAGAGGAACTGTAACTTACATTGCTCCACCTGGGAATTATGATACCTCAGTAAGTATCATTTCAACTTTATCCCACAGAATAGCACTATTTACATATAACAGTTAACCAGTTTTAGTCCCCTAAATAATTAAATAATTGAAATTTGATATATAGGTTTTGAGTAACTCCCATAATTATTTTTTAAGGGATTATTTTTTGTTTTTAGCTTGGACTTGGGAACACGAAAAGCAGAACACATTGTTTCTTTTTTAAGTATTAAGAAATATAACATTTTTCTACCTTCTTAACTGATCCTACATTTATTTAAAGCCCTGATATTTTAGGCATAAAGTAGACTATGATTTTAGTTGTCGATCTGTATTCATATAATAATTGTACCATGGATTATGTGAATTCTTCTTTTGAGTGATCCATTTAAAATGTAGTCCTTTAATGTTATTTATAGTCACATACTATCAAATACAGTAGACCCATAATGGCCTTTATGGGTTGAAGATAACTTTATTGAGAAGACTGTTGTAGCATATAATTTTCTCCCGATAATATGTGATGAGATAGAACAATTTTTAAATCATTTTACAAGTATTAAGTGGGGATAAAAGCAAAAACAAAAAACTGGAATTATCTTTTGGAGGGTGGGCCTCTTGTGGTAAACTCAGAATTTGTTCCTCTGGATCAAACAGTCAACCTCAGTTTTGAGAAGGTTGTGTCACGATTTGCGGAAGAAACATCCCAAGCTGTGGCAAACAGGTGACTGGTTCTTCCACCATGACAGCATCCATACTGCACTGAGTGTTCAGCAGTTTTTGACTAAAACGGCATGACCCTGTGCCCTGCCCTCCCTCTTCACCCAATCTCACCCTGAGCAACATCCCTCTCCACCAATGAAAAAAAAGTCCTCAAAGGGAAACATTTTGCTGATATGGAAGAGGTGAAACAAAAAGTGGCAGTAGCACTAAAAAGCATCAACATTGATGAGTTCAGAAACAGTTTTAAACAGTGGAAAAAGCAGCCTGATAGGTGTATTGCATCAAATGAGGAATACTTTGAAAGTGACTAAAGTTAAAGCATGTAAGAAAACACAATTTTTTATAAATAAATTCTGGCTTGTCTTGGGTCCTTCGTCATATGAGGCTGTGCTCTAACAGCGGTCCCCAACCTTTTTTGCCATCAGGGGCCAATTTCACGGAAGACGGTTTTTCCACAGATGGGGGGTGGGGGGAATGTGCAGTCCAACCTCCCTATTAATGTTAATCTGTATTTGCAGAGTGGCTGCAGCAGCCCCAGTGCTAACATCACCACCTCAGCTCTATCTTAGACAATCAGGCATTAGATTCTCATGGAAGTGTGCAGCCTAGATTCCTTTTTTGCCCAGTTCATAACAAGTTTGGGCTCCTATGAGAATCTAATGCTGCTGCTAATCTGATAGTAGGTGGAGCTCAGGCGGTAATGCCAGCGATGGAGAGCAGCTGTAAATACAGATGCAGCTTCTCTTGCCTGCTTCGTGGCCCAGTTCCTAACAGGCCATAGACCGAAAACCTGCTCTGTAACATATAAAGAATAAGAGTTGAGTTCAGATTGGGATTCTGGGCAATTAGCTAGTCTCACTAGCTTAGTGACTCACTCCAAATGGAGAAACCATGCTAAAGCAGACCGTTCAAAATCATGCATAAACAAAATTACAGATTTCTATAGAGCCGTTGACTTTGGAGTTTGGGAATAGTTGAAACCATCTGTTGTTCACAAATGTTAGCACATATTACTTCTTTTTTTTTTTTTTTTTGAGTTGGTATCTCACTCTTTCGCCCAGGCTGGAAGGCAGTGGCACACTCATGGCCACCCCAGCGTCGACCTGCTGGGCTCCAGTGATCCTTCCGACTCAGCCTTCCAAGTAGCCGGAACTACAGGTGTGCGCTACCATGACTAGCTAATTTTTTTGATTTTTTGTAGAGACAAGGTCTCACCAAGTTGCCTGGGCTGGTCTCGAACCTACGGGCTCAGGCAATCCTCTCACCTTGGCCTCCCAAAACACTAAGATTACAGGCTGAGCCACTAAGCCCGGCCTCTTCTTTTTTGCATTTATAAATATTTAATTAAATATTTAAAAATATTCAATTAAACATTTTAGAGTCTTTAACAGATAGGTATTTTTCATTAAAGCAGTATAAAATCATTATGATAAAGTAAATAAAGCAGAGAATGGGAAATAAACTCTGAAAGCTTTCACTTATCCCCCATTCCAGTGCCAAGAGTGTTTTGTGTATCTTTTACGACTTCTCCTTGTGTACCTACATATAATTCATTCAATCCTTCCCCTGTTGCTTAATATACTCCTTTCTGAAAAAGTTTTAAACTTATTTTTAGTTGTTAAAAAGGTAGTAAATGTACATGGTTAAAAAAACAGGACCATATATAAAGATTCAAGTTAAAAGCGTACACATTTCCCTTCTCATTTATATGTACCACCTTCCTACCCCAAGAGGATTCTGTGGTTACTTTGATTTTGATTATATGTAAAATCCTGCTATTTTTTAAAATAGGATGTTGTCTTGGAGCTTGAATTTGAGGGTGTAAAGGAGAAGTTCAGCATGGTCCAAGTATGGCCTGTACGTCAAGTTCGGCCTGTCACCGAGAAGCTGCCGGCCAATCATCCTCTGTTGACTGGCCAGAGAGTCCTTGATGCCCTATTTCCGTAAGTCTGAGATATATCCCGCAGTTTTTTCTGAGTTGTTGCATGTACTTATCACTTCATTATCTTTAGAGATAAAGGTTTTTAAGTTTTAATACTATGATAAGTTTTATCTAGTGTGATAGTGGTGAATTAGTTAAATATATTTATCTATTACCAATACTTATTTTAGAGTGAAACTACTGAGATTTATTTTTTTCACAATTGTTAACAGAAAATATTATTTCTAAAACTTTCTAAAAAAATAAAATTTTCAGAAGAAAATCTGTATCAAAACCATATAACTATCTCTCTTAGGTTTTTTTTTTTTTTTTGAGTTGGAGTCTCACTCTGTTGCTCAGACTGGAGTGCAGTGGCACACTCCCGGCCACCGCAGCCTCGACCTGCTGAGCTCCGATGATCCTTCCGCCTCAGCCTTCCAAGTAGCTGGAACTACGGGTGCGCGCTACCACGCCCGGCTAATTTTTGATTTATTGTAGAGATGAGGTCTCACCAAGTTGCCCAGGCGGGTCTTGAACCTGCGGGCTTAGGCAATTCACTCACCTCAGCCTCCCAAAGTGTGGGATTACAGGCTGAGCCACCGAGCCCGCTTCTCTTAGGTTATTCTATAATTTGTAGATTGGTGTCACTATAAATTGATGATTTCTAAAATCATCTTAGTTCCGTATGCTGCCATGCACTCTTTCTTAATTTGTAGTCTGTTACTTTCCATTTTCTTCGACTGCTTAAAAACCATCTCCTTTCTCTTTTAAGTTTCAGGGTTCATCATATCCTGTTTTACTTTCAATAATGACTTCATCATTCAATTCACAGGAAAGATTGAAGCTGTGAAGTGGCAATTCTCTCAACCTCTGACCACCAAACAAACCTATTCATGTCCCAGTCTTTATGCAATTTCTTGACCTACAGACTTGTTCTCTTGGTTGTTCCCACTATTGCTCTCTCATTAAGATCTCCATCTTTTAGCTCTTCCTTCTTAGTCAGCATATTTTTCACTATCCAGTTTAGACTTCATAGTTTATCATTTTTATGAATATTTGCCAATATAATAAATATTCTTGTTACTTTGTGTTCTATCACAAACCTGACAAAATCCCAACTATGAATCAGTCCTGCTGTCTCCTCCTTCTAAATCTTCATGGAGGCTGCTGAAATAATCAGTTGGAATTGGTATCTGACTTTACTACTATGTAGCAATCCTGTGTTTCCCTAGTTATTATTCTTTCCTATTCTCAGCAGTTATTTCATACCACTCCATTAACCTCAGATCTTCAACTCTACCCTTCTTTCCTCTTCTTTCTCAGGAAATTATCTTGCTAGGCCTTTCACAGAGCAATTAGAGGCCATGAGATTTGGAACTCCTTCAGCTTCCTACTTCTAGACTCACTTAACATACATTCCCATTCATCCCTTCTTCTTTTCTTTCATGTCATGTCTGCCTCAAGGACCTCCCTATATTATCTTCCTTCTGTTTCCCATCTAGGGGGAAAAAAAAAAACACCCTCTACCCTTTTCCCTTTCCACCTACCATTACTTTTCTCCTCCTCTTCATAGCCAAACCTCTTAAAGTAATAAATTTATCTCCACTTCTATTCTAATTCACTATACTCTGCCCTTGGCTTTACAACTCCCTTAGCTAGTCTCACTAATACATCAGTCACTCCCATACTGATCAAATCAAGAAATAAGTTTTAGTATTTTCCTTATCCTTATAGCTTTGAATATTGCTTTCCACTTCTTCCTTGAAACATCCTGATTTTTTGTCCTTCTCATTAGCTTCTTTTCACAAGTTAGAGCCTCTGTTACTGGAGTCTTTGTTAAAGGCTCTTTTTCCTGTAAATTTGGTATTTATTAGGGTTTTTCTTCTTCTAAGTCCTCTTCTTTCCTTATTCTGTGTCTTAACCTCTCTATGGATGACTTCATCGTTTTCCTGACTTAAATATTTATCTATATATAAGGACTTTTAGACCTGTGTCTTTATCCCAAATGCCTTCTGAGCTCCAGACTCATACATCCACTTCTGATTAAACCTTTACTTTTGAATATCCTACAAGTGCCTCAAAGTCAGCATGCTCAAAACTGAAATAATCATCTTAATCAGCACTTCTTGCTTTGAAACTTGCTCATCTTTCTTTGTTGCCTCTTTAAAATATCATTATCATCCTTCCAGTGGATGCTCAAATCTGACTTCTCTCCAGGATTGTTATTACTCTCCTACATCTAATTGTTAACAAGTGCTTTTATTCTAGTCTCTAAATATTGCTTATCTACATGTTTATTCCTTACTCTATAACTCTAATTAAGGTACTCCCCCTAATTCCTGCAATAATCACATTTAATCAGACTTCTATCTTCACTCTTGCTTTCTTTCTAAATGGTTGTCAATACGAAGTACTGGCCTTTTTAAAGCACATACTTGATCCTGCACTGTTTTGCTCAATACTCTTAGGGTGCTTTTTATTGCTCTTAGAACAAATACATGATCCTTAACTCCTTACAAAGCCACCCATGATCTGGCCATCTCTTAATTTCCAGTATTGTCTTAGCTGCTTGACTGCCCAACTACTTTTGTGTCACCATCTTCCAGGCATTTTGAAGGACTTTTAATTCCTAAAACAATAGCCTCTCTGGTCCCTGGCCCTTTAGAAATGCTGTTCCCTCTGCTTGGAATATTATTTTACTTTAGGAAAATTTTAATTTCCTTTCGAGTCTAACTTAATTTCAGGAAGAATTTTCTAACTCTATTCCAATCTAGTATCAGACTTTGCACCCTTCCTGTGTGCTCCACCAGCACCATGGATGTCTTCTATGATAACACTTTTCACATTGGGTTGCTGAATTTTCAAACTCTCCAGTCCTGCCCCACCCCAGGTTAAAAGTGATTTGACAGAGGTATATTGAGCCATAGGAGAAATGTGACATGCCTTCTTAGTCTGTTAAATATACTGAATGGTTTGGAGGGGAAACATTTTTAATGCATATTAATTTTATGTTGAAAAAAGTAGGTTATGATTAAGGATGCAATGTTTCTGTGAGTTTTTATGATAACACACAATATAACAGAGAACTTTCCCTTAGCGTTACATCCATTTCTCCTGCCCAGGCCCTCTCCCACCATAAACACTGTGCAAATGCACACATGCATGTGTGTGCATGCACACACACACTCTCACACTTGCACCTCACACTCCTCTTCCCCAAAAGGATATTTCACTCTCCATTGCTACTTTTTAAGGAAAGTTTGAAAGTGACTGCTAAGTGGTACTGTCATCACTAGTTGACTCTCTAGCTTATACCACTGGAATCTGAGTTTTGAATACAGAAACATGCTATCTTATTTACTATTTGTTGTCTCTCCAGCATTTCCAAACACAGTTTTAAGTACTTAGGAAGTGCTCAGTAAATAGTTATTGAACAAATAAAAGGGAGGTGACTTAACACTTTGACTAAAAGCGCTTTGTTCATTAAACTTTATAGCAAAATACAGATTTTTTAACTTATTTTTTTTGCCATCACTTTCTTTCTTTTTTTTTTTTTTGAGTCGGAATCTTACTCTGTCACCCAGGCTGTAGTGCAGTGCAGTGGCACACTCACAGCCATTCCAGCATCGACCTGATGGATTCTGGCGATCCTTCTACCTCAACCTTCCAAGTAGCTGGAACTACAGGCACACACTACCATGCCTGGCCAATTTTTGATTTATTGCAGAGACGAGGTCTCGCCAATTTGCTCAGGCTGATCTTGAACCCGCGGGTTCAGGCAATCCACTCGCCTTGACCTCCCAAAGTGCTGGGATTACAGTCTGAGCCACCGATCTCGGCCGCAAAGACAACTTTCAAAAGTTGTTCATGTTTTTCTTTTAGTTTTAATTTCCGTATTGCCTTTTCTTCAGCTAATTTATACAAGCATTCAGAATATCATTGTCTTAGTATTCTCATATCCGTCTTCCCTGCCTTACAGAATAGGCTTTTACTTTTCAGCTATTAAATATGATAGAGATGATTAATCATATTAAAGGCATATACTATTATAGGTATAAGCTAAGGGAGCAATTATATCTATATCTGTATGTTTTTGTATGTGTATGTATAGATAAAAATATTTGAGTGCTTTTTTTCTTTAACTTGTCTTTTTGTGTTATTTACCTGTTTTATTTATTAGCATTTATTGTATTATATAGCAAGTAGTCCACACTTTGTTTTCTTTGTTTAGATGTGTACAGGGAGGAACAACAGCTATCCCTGGAGCTTTTGGCTGTGGAAAGACAGTGATATCACAGTCTCTATCCAAGTATTCCAACAGTGATGTGATCATCTATGTAGGGTGTGGTGAAAGAGGAAATGAGATGTCTGAAGTTCTCAGGGACTTCCCAGAGGTCTGTATGTTGAAATCTTCAAATAATATTCTAGAGAAGATGCTACTAATCGATGTTCATTGTCAATTAATACATCTTTGTGTTATGTTCTGGAACAATGCTCTCACTAGTCAAGAAGCTTTTTAAAAATTTCAAAATTAATTAGATTAATTTTTGTATTTTATATTCAAGGAAAAGACTGAATTCTTCAAAGTTTATTTTTGTGATCTGGTAGTTTTCACTTATTGGAAGAAAAAACATTTACAGTGGGACCTTTAAATAGACCTTATGATCTGCTTGGTTACTATAGTAATATTTCTTCTTTCATAAATTAGTTATTTATGCAGTGGAAATAATTTCTGTCTTCTTCACAGTACTGTGGAGCAGGGAAGACAGGTTGGTGTGACGGGAAATATTACTTTGGGAATACTGATTATAAGAGGAATTAATATGGGCAAGTTGTAAAAAATACTAAAATGTTACCTTTAGAAACTGGAGAATCTCTAACAGATTTTATTTTTCACCTCTAGCTCACAATGGAAGTTGATGGTAAGGTAGAGTCAATTATGAAGAGGACAGCTTTGGTAGCCAATACTTCTAATATGCCTGTTGCTGCTAGAGAAGCCTCTATTTATACTGGTGAGTATACAGACTGGAACAAAAGCACCAAACTTTTTCTTATCCAAAGAACTTTTTTCTTTCATTCTAAAATCTGTCTGTACATATAAGCACATTCCTAACTTTTAAAAAATATTTTACTTATTATATCTTGAGAATAAGTGAATATATAAAATATTTATATCCCGTGCCTTTGGGAGGCTGAGGTGAGTGGATTGCCTGAGCCCGCGGGTTCGAGACCCACCTGGGCAGTGAGACCTCATCTGTACAATAAATAAATAAAAAATCAGCCGGGCGTGGTAGCGCATGCCTGTAATTCTAGCTACTTGGAAGGCTGAGGCGGAAGGATCGCCGGAGCCCAGCAGGTCGAGGCTGTGGTGGCCGGGAGCGGCCACTGCACTCCAGTCTGGGCGACAGAGTGAGACTCCAACTCAAAAGAAAAAAAAAAATTTATAGAGTTGCCCCAATCTTTTTAATAACAGTAAAATTATATATCTTCTACTACCATTTTGTTATTACATGTTTACCATTGCTCTATCTTTAAATATACTTGTACCTCTATAACTTGAATTATCAGCTTTGAATTAATATATTTTTGACTGTGAATATAAAAGGTAAGAAAATTCATGTGTTACCTTCCATCCCAGCTTTTTGTACTTTTATTTCTACATTTTCAGGATTATAAAATTTGTATTCTGTTCTGTAACCATAAATCCAATATTTGAATTAACTTTAAGCTTTCAGCGAAATGGAGTTAATGCTCACTGGTAGTCTTTTGACTGCAGTTTCTTCATTCATTTCTTGTTTGGCTAAAATTTAACTTTTGGAAGTTTTTTCAAGAAAGGTTCACAGGAACTATATTCCCCGTTTCTTCATAAATTTGAATTTTTAATTGCCTTTCAACTTTAACAGTAGTTGGCTGAGTATAAAATTCTTGGATTCATATTTCTTTCTTTGAGAACCCTTATTCTAGCCTTAAATTCCAGAGAAAAATCTGAGGCTCTGAGGCTGGTCTGCTTATTTTCCTTTTTTAGATGATTTTTCTTTTTTCCCAGTGGAATTTCCTCTTGAAATTTGTGTCTCATAACTTACTAGGATACATCTCATTTTTATTGTTTTGATAAACTTTTCCTAAGATGTAATATGCCCTTTCAATTTATGAATGTCTTTTATCTTAGAAAATTTTGAGAATTGTATCTGAAACTTTTTTTCTTCTATTGTGGCTATCTTTTTTTTTTTGAGTTGGAGTCTCACTCTGTCACCCAGACTGGAGTGCAGTGGCCGCTCCCGGCCACCACAGTCTTGACCTGCTGGGCTCCGGCGAGCCTTCTGTCTCAGCCTTCCAAGTAGCTGGAACTATAGGCGCACGCTACCACGCCCGGCTCATTTTGGATTTATTGTAGAGATGAGGTCTCACCAAGTTGCCCAGGTGGGTCTCGAACCCGTGGACTCAGGCAATCCACTCACCTCAGCCTCCCGAAGGCGTGAGATTACAGGCTGAGCCACTGAGCCCAACTATTGTGGCTATCTTGTTCAGATATATCAGCTGTGTGCATTAGTGCTCTGATAACTGTTTTCCATATGTGTCATTTCCTCCCTAACCCTTTTTATTTAGCCTTTTTGTCTGTTCACAGGATAAATGGTATCTATTCTTTATATTGTTTCTAATGAAACCTTCATTTCTATTTTTATATTTTTGTCCTTTCAGCTGTTTGTCGATTTCTGCTGGCCCATGAAACACCTCTTTTATCTTGATATATATTTTCCTTGAGATTTTATTTTGTGATAGGATGCATTACTAAGTTCTCTTTTTTGTCATCACAGTTTTCATCTGTTCCTTGGTAGGTTCTTTGACCATTGTTGTATTCTTCTCTTTTGTCTTTTTTCTTTTTTTATCTTTGTTTAGATATATTATAATGACATTTGTTATCAGTGTTACTCATCTTTGTAGGAGATGGGACAGGAATGGCAGTGACTGTGGTCCAGGGTAGCAGGAATTCTTCATGGTAACTTTTGAAGTTTGTTAGGGAATGGAGCTATGTAAGGAAATTATTTTACTTCTCTCCTACCAATGAAAACCAGTAACTGTAAGGCCATTCACAGTGAATTCTTCCACTGGCCTCACCTACTTTTTACTTAGTGACATAGGAAGTGCTTACAAGTGTTTTGTTCATCCTCATCTCCCTACTTCTCCTTGATGCCAAACTGGGTCCACAGAACTCCTGTCGTTAGCCATGTTGCTTTTTGCAGTGTTCCAACAAAGGATTCTGGGGCTTGCTGCTCAGGATGTGGCTCCTACTTTGCAGAAGCTTTATCTGAGAGATACAGCCTCAGATGAATTCTTGGTGTTTTCCCATACCCTTGTTTGTTTTTCACCTCCTTTAGGTGGCGTGTTTCATTATTTTGTTGCGGGGCTAAACATGATCCCTAGTTTTTAACGATTTTTTAAAAATTCATCTTATTTTTAAAGATGTGGGGGTACAATTCAGGATTAGGTATACAAGTAATTGTACCGGTAAAGTTTGGGCAATTGAGGTTGTATTTCTATATTTCTTCTCCTTGTTTGGTGATTACTTTTATGAGGAGGAGAGAGTGACATGTTCATCTATTATTTTAAGACAGGAGATTTATCTCATTCTTTTAAATGACTGCACAGTATCCCTTTGTATAGGTATGTCAACATAACTGAGATTTCACCAGCACATTTTTGGTGGATATAGGATTTTTATAGTTTTTTGCTATCACAAATGAGGTAGCACTAAAACATCCTTATGTGTGTTTTTTTTTAACACAGTCCTTGTGTGTTTTGTGTGCTTATTTCTTTACACAATTTTAAGGGTAATTTCTTAGAAGTAAATTCCTGACAATGCAACTGTCGGTGCAGATTTTAAATTCTGATACTCTTCAAAAGACTGTCTTCACCAATGGTAGTTTTTGCAACACTTTCTTTTGATAATTATCAAACATACAGAAAAGTTGAAAGACTATTACAATGAACACCATGGTACCCAACACCTAGATTCAACAATTGACATTTTAACTATTCTTGCTTTATTAGATACCTGTTCAATCTGTATTTCTTAACAGTGAGCTAGCATCTTTCCATGTATATTAACCATTTAAAAACAGCCTTCTAGCTGGGCTCGGTGGCTCAGCCTGTAATCCTGCGCCTTTGGAAGGCTGAGGTGAGTGGATTGCCTGAGCCC